ACTTAAGTTTTCTTTTAAATTTGTAGAATAATAGTTTCAACGTGAAATGGATTCGGAATTTATCAAGAAACTAAAGGAAAATAATGTTCCAGAGGAATGTTTACAAATTTTGAAAGGTTTGTACCTGTAAGTTGAATTTAAAAAAAAATTTAATATTAAATAATTTAATGCAAACTTTTTATCCTGTACAATTTTCTATTTTATAGGAAGGAACAAATTTGCCGAACACAGTTTGTGATGTGAGAAAAGAAGTATCAGCATCAGTCCAACCATATATCCTTTTCGTGAAAGGATTAAAACAAAATTCCTTTTTAGTCCAAGGGGATGGAAGTTCTGTCAATGCCTTCGACCTATTGTTTAAATTTTATTACGTGTTAAATCTTTGTTATCCACCCGGGTTGCAAATTTTTTATAATTTTATTGAAAATTATATTTATGGCCTTAACACAGGAGCTCAAAGTGTTGTTGCATTGTTGCATATCAATTTGTGTAATATTATCGGGGAAGAAAACGAAGTGATTTTTATTTTTTTAATTAATGTATTTGAATAAAAAAATGAATAATCAGAAAACTTTTCTTCTTTCTTTTGTCACAAAAACTACTAGTAATAAATATTTATTTCACTGATGACTTCAGTGAAAACTAATAATTAAACCAGTGATCGTTCACTGATCACTTCAGTGAATAAATTTTTCACTGATTGAAATAGCGAAAATTCGCTGATTTTCAGTGGTATACTTATAGCTATTTCAATCAGTGACTATTCACTGAGAACCAGTGGGATTTCGCTGATTCAAATTTAGAGAGTATGTTAAATAAATTATGTGATACAAAAAGGAACAATTTTGTAAAATTTAAGAAAATTGTTCCACTTCGTATCACTTATATTATTTGAAATACAACACATATTTAAATTTTTTTTTTGTTTTTATACCAAAGGAGGAACAAATTTCTTAAATTTTTTTAAAAAATTGTTCCTTTTTGTATCACATAATTTATTTAACATACAACACATATTTTTTAAACATTTATTTTTATACCAAATAAGTTCGCTTCGAGTACGGAACCCTCGATTTCAGTGCGAGTGTAACTCGCACTTGTCCGATTTTTTTATTATTTATTATTATTATTATTTATTTTTTTTTTTATTATTAATTAATATATGTTTGAAAAAATATTTTGAGGATTAGTATTTTGTAACAATACATTCATACATCAAATATGAACAGTCTGGGTTGAATATTATGTGCGTTAGGGAGATTAAACCATTTTTTTTCGAAATTATTTATTTTTCCTTGACAACGCTATGTAAATCGTACCGAATCATGTTTGGGTACATAGTCATTTTTCGTAAAAAATCACGGTTTTTCCTTGACTTATAACTCCTTGACTTGATAAAAGTTTTGCGAATGTAAAGTCCGTTTTCAAACCTAAAAAATGGCATATCAAATATTGCGGACATATTTTTTTAAATTAGGCGGATTTGGTTGAAACACGTTACTCGAGGGGTTTTTGGGGTCTCTGATTACGAATCTTATATTAGTTTTTCAAAATTCAATATGGTGAGTCCAATATGGCGAACAGGAAAATTAAAAATCAATAGAATTAACTTAAAACTAATTACTCTGAGGTTTTCAGTGTCATATAAATTCAAATTTTGATTCTAGAAATAAAAAACAGTGAATAAAATATAGCAGAAATCAATAATGTAAATATTAAATAAGAAAAATAACTATCAAATTCCACCCCCGGTAAATAGTTTAACAAGTATCTACAACCCCAGAGTGAACCACGTTTCCCGAAAACCCCAAACTAACAAATGTTAAGTAAATTCTATTGATTTTTAATTCTCCAGACCATATTGGATACGCCATTTTGAATTTCGAAAAACATCAGTGTAACGTGACGTTGTAGGGTAAAGGGGGTGTTCAAAGTTTGTGACAAAGTGTGACATGGATATACAAAAAAATGGTGTATAAATAATACATAATTTTGCAGTTTATTTACTTTTACGTTTTAATTTAAAATGAAATGAACTTAAAATTTAATCAAGCAAATTCTGTATGCATTCCAATTTTTTCAAAAAGAAAAAGTAACCAAAAACCGCTGCGAAGTTGAAGAATGAACATTTTGTGCACATAAAATGAACACTTTGCTTCCCCATGGAGATTTCTTGAGATCAATTTATGGTATCTTGTTTAGTATTATATAATAATTTTAAAAAGTTGTTAAGTTGTATTTTTGGGAATTTGCAGAGATAAGTTTTTAACATCAATAACTTCGTAATATATCACAATAAAAGGTTCAACAATAGGTCAATTGATTGGTTTTTAAATATTCTCCAAGTTGTTCATAATACTTTAAAGATACATAAATATTTTTTAATAAATAAGGCAAAAAAGGCAGGGTTTTCACTAATTAATATTGTTCAAAGTACTCTCATTATTTGTCCGCCAGTGACACCAACAATTTAAAAAAAATTATCCCTTTAGCTCTTATAGCACCGCCAGACAAAATTCAACTTTTTTTTCACACACGAAAAAATCAATGATTTTCAGAAACTAGGACCAAAAAAAAGATACCCGTGTCTGGCCGTTTTGATAGATCAGGTCATTTTTTGTTTTTAGGGGTAAAAACAACCCTTAAATGAAAGGTGATAGGAAATCTCGTACAAATTAATAATTTTTTATGAAACCTGGTAACTCAGGGTTTTCAGGGTCGCCGATTACGAATCTGATGTCAGATTTTTAAAATTCAAAATGGCGGATCCAATATGGCGGATCCAATATGGCGGTCGAAATTTATAAAAATTCACCAATTCATTTGAAAGTTGTTACATAGGGGTTTTTGGGGTCGCTGATTACGAATATGATGTCAGATTTTCAAAATTCAAAATGTCGGATTCAATATGGCGGTCGAAATTTATAAATATTAATTATTTTTTATAAAACTTGGTATCTAGGGATTTTTAAGGTCGCTGAGTACGCATCTGAAGGTAGATTTTTAAAATTCAAAATAGATCTAATAATGTAGAAGATTAGAAAAAAATATATAAAAAATAAAAATTTCCACATATGTGTTTTTTGTATATTGGACACTTTTTTAATGAGAAAACAGGCTTTTGTAGTAAGTAAGAATATTTTTATAAGATAACAGTAATAAGCTTAAGTAAGATGAATTTAAAGATGTGAAGTGATTGTTTAAAACTGCTGATGAGCAAATTAAAAAAGTCTACAATTGTCATTTGTTTTATGTACTATTTTCCGTAACTATGCAACTGAAAACGAACATATAAACAACTGTCATTTGTTTTAACTTTGTCCAATATACAAAAAACACATATGTGGAAATTTTTATTTTTTAAATATTGTTTTCTAATCTTCCACATTATTAGATCTATTTTGAATTTTAAAAATCTGACTTCAGATTCGTACTCAGCAACCTTAAAAACCCCTAGATACCAAGTTTTATAAAAAATAATTATTATTTATAAATTTCGACCGCCATATTGGATCCGCCATTTTGAATTTTGAAAATCTGACATCAGATTCGTAATCAGCGACCCGGAAAACCCCGAGATACCAGGTTTCATAAAAAATTATTAATTTGTATGTACAAGATTTCCTATCACCTTTGATTTAAGGGTTGTTTTTACCCCTAAAAGCAAAAAATGACCTGATCTAACAAAACGGCCAGACACGGGTATCTTTTTTTTGGTCCTAGTTTCTGAAAATCATTGATTTTTTCGTGTGTGAAAAATCGTGTCGGACGGTGTAGCATACGAGATATTTAAGAAAATGTACTGTATATACACGTAACGACATTTTTTAAAAATGTGATTTTTGGATTCCTGAGGTCGAAAAACATAAAGATACATCAAAAAATCAAGTTCATAAAATTTCGGCATTACAATGCTTCCTCCATGAGGAATCTCAAGTTTTTAAAAGCTCCAAAGAAAGTTACCAAGCTACTAAAACTTTCAAAATTTCTCAATTTGATTATTTTTGAACCAGGGATGTGTCTGAAAACAGAACTTTGATTCCATGCTGCCGGCATGAAACGAAATTCATGAAGCATTTAGTTTCGTGTCTGGGCATGAAACAAAAGTCGGTGGGACTTTCATTCACTTTCAAGACCAGAAACGAAAGTTGATGGGACTTTTCTTCCCTTCCAAGACCCAAAACGAAAGTAGGTGTTTTGGTAAAAAGTGTTTTGTTTCGAGCATCACAGTATCCTTCCCCCCATGCATTTTGTGCCGCAGAACATGAATTTGAAGTCCTTTTTGCTCCTGGGGGTCTGAATTTCTTCCTAACCTTAAAAAACGTGTCAAGTTTTTGATTGTATAAATTTTTTTAAAAAAATTTATGAATTTATATGAAACTTGGTATCCAGGAGTTTTTCAGGTCGCTGATTAAGTATCTGAAGTCAGATTGTTGAAATTCAAAATGCCTGATCCAATGTGGCGGTCAAATTTTCAAAAAATAGGGGAATTTTTTTAATTTTCTTATTTTCTTGTTACACAGGGGTTTATAAGTTCGCTGATAGCGAATTAGGTGTTAGTTTTAAGAAATTCAAAATTGCCGATCCAATATGCCAGACAATTTTCTGAAAATTCATCAAATTCGCTTGAAACTCGTTACTTGGGTAACGATCTAATATGGAAGTTACATATTTCGAAAATTGGTATTTTTTAAACAAAGTTTCTTAAAGATCAACCATTTTTAATGTTGAAAACCCGCATTGAGCTTCGTAACACAGCCTTCAATAAAGTGTGGGGGTTTTGGAGATTAGAGTACCGTACCTCCCTGTATCCATGATAAATAGATTTTAAGGGGGGAACACCAGTTGTAACTTTCGAAAAATCGATTTTTTTTTTGTGAATTTTCTTAAAGTATACATATTTAGAAATGTGTCTGTAAATTTCAAAGTTGATCCGGTGAAAAATAAATGAGATATAAAGAACACTGCAGCGGTGCGTCCCGTGGCTTCATACAAGGTGGCCAGCCATACCTGACCCTAACGACAGATGGCAGCAAATTGGCATTTTAGAATCGGCAACCACTGCGGAAGAGTTATTATATGGTCCAGGAATCGATGACTCTTTGTAACTTGGAAACAAAATTTCTTCTGAACAAAAAAAAGTAAGTTGAAACTTTGAATGCGTTTTTCTCAAAAAGACATTTTCCAAGTCGGTGACCACGATTACTCGAATACCATTAAACCGATTTATTTAAAATTTAGTGTTCTTCATTTACACATATAAGTCTAGTTCGTGATCGAAGGATTTTTTTTTATGCAAAACTTTTTTTTATATAGCTGAAAATCGACCGTATTTTTTTAACGAAAATCATACTTTTGACTTTGACAGGTCGCCATTTTGTCAAATTTTTTTTTTTTTTAAATCCTTCGATCACGAACTAGATAATCTTATAATAAATGTAAATCAATTTCATTTTTGTATTTCAGACGAAGTATACTTGCAGAATGCTGGTCACCGCAATTCGCCTTTTTTCTTAAGGCGCCACTTCAATGGCTCATATCTCCAAAAGTTTTTGTTAAAAAAATTTTTTTTTTCTTTTAAATTACAGCTTTTTACATGTACTTTTAACTAATAAATAGTATTCTTTAAAAAGATTCATTGTTCTTTTGGAAAATATTCTTGTAAAAAGCATTATTTGTTGACTTACAACTGGTGTTCCCCCCTTAATGAAACATGGTATAAGGTTTTTAGGGTCACTGGTTTCAAATCTAAAGTCAGTTATTAAAAGTTCAAAATGGTGGCATATCAAATTCGAAAAGTTAATAGATTTCAAGAAAACTTCCAGAGACAAAATTGGAATCCTCTTTAGCTCCACCTAGAACCTGAATAAGCCTCCTTTCTGATTTTTTAGATTCCTGTGTATCTTTCTTTACCTAATGTTTAGTAAAATATTAGTATTTGATTTAGTAGTTTTAATTTATTTTACTAAAATTTTAGAAAAAAATGATTAAAAATTAGTGGAAATTCTTAATAATTTAAATTAATAGCTCACCTTTTACTAATTCAGATTTAGAGAGTGTGGAACAACAATGTAAGGTGGTTTTTACAAAATAATTATTGATTTAGATGCTTTTCTAAGCAAAATCCCGATTTTTCTTATTCTTATTAAGAAATTCGACTTTTGTTCGATAGTCAACAGAATATTTCAATACTTTTTCATACGATTTTAATGTAATGTATTTTTTTAAAAAAGTATAAGAATATATAACAGTTTACTATTAATTTTTACGTTCAAGGCAATCAAAAAATGCTTTATTTGACCAGTTAAAAGTTTATGAATATATTTTTAAATTATTAATGTATTTATTTATTTCTCAAGAAAAACTAACTATTCGTCATTGTAGCACTTTTTGACGTATTAATATTTGTTCCTTTTATGCATTATATCATATATATATATTTTTTATTTTCAGATTTAAGGACAAGTAAAGCATGGAGCGAAAATTGGAAAGTGAGACTTCGCACGCGGGTTGTTCTAGGAGTCGTACATTTTCAAGTGTAGATAGTGACAGTGAGGGAGAGAATGGAGGTATGTCTGTAAAAGAATGTATGCATTTAAATAGCGCTAAACGACCTCGTGTATCAGAAGATACTTATAGATCTGAAAGCGTAGATAGATCTGATTCTGTGGACAGATCTGATAGCGTAGACAGATCTGATGGGACATATAGAGCGGAAAGTGTAGACAGATCGGATAGTATAGATAGACCAGAAAGCGTAGAATTAGAAGACCACGGACTCATGACTAGTAGCGATGAAGAAGAAGTACAAGACGAAATTGCAGAAAGTAGCGAAGAGAGTACATCCGATAGTGAAAATGAAGTAGATGAACTGACAGATCGACTAATGTTTCAAGGGTTTGCAGGTATGAATGGAATGCGAGCGCCATTAGAAGATAATGGAGAATTGAAAGCAATCGATCATTTATTAATTGAATTAACATTCGCCGTAAAATACAACAAGACTTACGAACAGCTTATACAGCGTTTGCAATTACTAAAAAAGACATATACTCGTATAAATTTGCCTATAACAAAGAAAGAAATTATGGAGGACACTAGGAAGGGACGACGCAAACTTAGTTTATCGGTTATACTGTGAAGAATGCAATCAACTTATCGGAAATGGTAAAAAAGTAGAAAGAGATTAAAACTTGCGAAATCATCCAAAGCTACAACTTACCTTTTTCTCTTACAATGGAGTTATCACCCCATGCGAGGAAGAGAAATATTTTTATGGCTGGAATATGGGTTGGAAAGAAAACACCCAATATGGGAAAAATAATAGAGTCCATTGTTGTAGATTTAAATGAGCTGCATGATATTGGAATTTCTTGGAGACCAACACCAGAAAGAGAGGTAATCAGCAAAATTTGCTGTTGTTACTCTATCTGCAGACTCAGTTGCTCGACCAGTTGTCGTATGAATGAAACAATATAACGGGGAATACGGTTGTACATTCTGTTTCGCGAAAGGGAAAAGCGTTCAACACCGATGGATTTTTAATGCCGAGCCAATAGTTTTGCGTACAATGGAAAAAATGGATCATGATTTACAAATGGTAATGAGGACTGGGGTAGAATCTAGAGGTGTCGTTGGTTGTTCGCGGTTGTTAAGTCTTAGAAGGTTCGACCTTATAAAGGGTCAAGTCGTTGATATTGCACACAAAGATTATTTAGGAAACGCTAAAAGATTCAATGAAAAACACATAACAGATGTAGGACAAGCTTGGTACATAGGGCATGGCGAAAATAGGAATGCTATTAATGCTATTTTGAAAAAAATTAAGACATCCTCAAGAATTGCAAGGAAGCCGCTTAGACTACAGACATCGAAATCGTGGAAAGCATCCGAGTGGCGTAATTATCTTTTATATTATATGCTTCCTTGTCTTGATGGTGTCTTACCTGGACCGTATTTCAGCCATCAAGCTAAGTATCGTGAAGCAATATTCATTTTGAATAATGCATCTATTACGAATGAGGACTTGGCTAAAGCGAAAACTAACTAAGAAGAAATTGTGAACGAAACTGAAGAGCACTACGGCGAGGTAAGCATGCGGTATAATGTTCACGTAAATAATCATTCCGGTACGTCAACAGAAGATTGGGGTCCTGCCTGGGTGTTTTCAACTTTACCGTTCGAATCGATGAATAGACCGATTGCGGAATCGGCCACAAGTCCAAACCACAGAGCTGAACAAATTGTGACTTGCTTCTTCATGAAAAAGTCTATCTTGCGTACCGCTGAAGAAGAAAACATTTGTCCGGCAACACGGAATATAATAGAAGATCTTTTAGAAAAAAAACTGTACATGCACCTGATGACATGACAGAAGGGCATTATTTTATTGGCGAAGGAAGACGACGAATGCGACCTGCAAACCCCGAAGAAATTCAAGTTTTAGCTAATGATACTGTAGAAATGGAGGAAAATAATGCGTTCGGCGTAAATATTGTGATCATATAGTTTACTGTCGCGACAAAAAATTTATGGTCATAAAGAATATAATATCATTTCAGCATGAATATGAAACAATTGCTGGTTTTATAGGTGAAGAATTTCAAGACTTAGGGGGGCGTATAATACAGAACACATGCGATTTGTACTTCCAACAATAAACAAACGTTTTGTGTCATTTCACGATGTTTTAGCGCCAGGGATAATAATAGAAGCGAAAAAAGGAATTGTTGATATCCACCTAAGCAATTGTTGGGAAACTGACTAAATATATATGTATGTGCCTTAGGGGTGTTTTTTTAATTTGAAATTGAAGAACCCTTAGAACAGTTCCTTTTCCTTTTAAATTTTAAAAATTAAGAGTATGCAAAAAGATTTTATTTTTATTATATATTAATTCTTTAACATCTAAATTATTAACATTTTTAACAGTAAATCTTATTAAACATATATTTTATATGTATTTAAATCTTCCACTTATAATCATTTTCATTTATTATATTTTAAAAGCAACTTTTTTGTGCATTAAATCTGAGATAATATATTAATAAATATAATGTTATTTAAATAGTAGTTTAAATATTTTTTTCTTTTATTAAAAAGTGTCATTCGCTATTTTCATACCATTTTGTAAATTAATATCATAAACTCTTATCAAAGTGTTTTTTAATTTTAATCTTATGTACTATAAATGTTAACCCAAATCTTTTATTTGAAATGAATTTTATAACTAAATCTTTAATAAATTCCGATAAAATGTCATTTAAAGTTTAAAAAATGCCCCGGTTGTCGGTAACTGCACACGTTATTTGAGTATGAATTATTTAATTCGTCACCAGAATGATCGTTGCGAATTGGATCAGTTTAAATAAAATTTTTTTGAGTAATGTGCAAGAGGAGTCTACTACACTTAAAATTTTCCAAAAACAGATTTTTTCGAATTTTTTTTTAGAACTCGAGCATGCTAATCCGCTAACTTTAAATGCGTTTTTCTGGAAACAGTGTTTTTTAACGCCTTGTTGATGAAATATCTGAAACTACTGAACCGATTCTTACCAAATTTTTACCACATATTCTTTATAACTACAGTTATAGTGCATATCAATAATTTTTTAAATTTTGGGTTTCTGACTTAGTTTCAACAATTTTAATTTTTTTTCAACTGTTGAGTTTCATATTGAACTTAATATCGTATTTAAATGTACGCGGTTTATATTATTTGAGAATACTTATATGTAGCGACGATTATGAATTCGCCTAAATTTCTCCCCCCAAATTTTATATCATCGGTGGGGATTAAGAAGAAACGCGCGAACTGACCAGATTTAGGACGACAGTCGAACAGTATAGACACGACAAATTTACAAGTAAACTCTAAAATAAACTCCAAATTATAAGTATAAAAAAAGTGTTTTATTTTAACACGTGAGTGAAAAATACTCAACAAAACCTTTTATCAAATTTAACATGGTCCTTCGAGCCGGATTTTCTTATTCGTCCGGAAAATTGAATTAATGGAAAATTAATTGCCATGCGGTGACACCATTTGCCAAAAATATTTCAAAGTCTCACTGTAGTGGAACATTTGAGTTTTTTCTCAAACATCAAAAGTAAAATTAGTTCTCAACATTCGTCGTTGTCAATCGATTGTCTACAAGCTCAATTTTTGGATTTTTTGGAGTCTCGAAGCTGGAAGTAGACATTTTTCCCAACTCGACCATTATTAATCAAAAGGAACGCTACTTCGTTCTATCGAGTGAATGTACTACTAGAAGCCGAGGAATTACGAGTCAACGAAGCCAGTCATCTACTGGGACGTTCATCAGGATCCTGTTCGTACTTCATCTCCACTACGAGATATCATCAGGCCAGTTTTGTACTGGAATCTGCAGAAGTCCGGAACCTGAGTCAATTTCGTTTCACGCTGCTTCTCTAATCCAGGAATCTACGAGAGGTCTCGAATCCAGAACTTGAGTTGCTGCCTCTATCTCATATTCAATTGACTTTGGGAGCTGCCTCCTGGAGTGGGGATCTTCGCATCTATCATCCACCAGGTGAAAGCGCTTCCTTTTATTTTATATTTTATTACCTATCCTTTATATCCTCATAAAAATTTCTACACGTCTTTACTTGATATTCGTCTAATTTATTGTTCATTAAAATAAAAATTTTTTAAATTTCTTAATAAATTTTTTACAATGGGAAACGACTCTAACGAATCAAACATGTCGGGTGATTCTGAGACCGTGAGTTTAGAAGTATTGAAACAAAAAAGAAAAATTGCAAAGTCTACATTAACGCGTTTTGAAACTTTCGTAGCTAAATTTAAAAGTGGCGATAATCTTGAAAATTTGAAGGCGCGAACTAGTAAAATTAATCAAATTTTGGATGAGTTTATGGGGATTCAAAATAAAATTATTGAATTAGAAGGTGAAAATGATAAATTAATTGAAGGCATAACAACTTTCGAGACTTCCTTCTTTGCTGTTGTCGGTGCTGCTAATACAATAATAAACAGAGCCGATAAATTGACTCAGAGTTTTTCACAATCACAAACAAATAGTGTTTTGAGTAATCAATCACCTTCTGAAATAAATACAATTACTGGTCACGTTAAGTTGCCTACGATAAATATTCCGACTTTTTCGGGAGCATACGAATTATGGTTAAATTTTCGCGATACGTACAGTTCGTTGATTCACGAGAATTTTTCTCTCTCTAACGTACAGAAATTTCACTATCTCCGATCCTCTTTGGCGGACGAAGCCGCTGAGCAGATACAAACTCTGGAAACAACCGATGCGAATTACGATATCGCATGGTCAATGCTTAAAGAACGTTACGAAAATAATAATTTAATTATAAACAGCCATATCGACGCGATTTTCGATATTCCAAGTTTAACGGAAGAATCATATGACGGTATTCGTCAAATTCATTCGGGCATAGAAAAAAATATTCGTTCTCTGGGGGTGCTCGGCGTGCCTGTGGACGGGTGGGACATGATTCTTATCAATATAATTATGTCGAAATTAGACCCGGTTACTCTGCGCGATTGGAAGGGAGTAAAAATTCATGGCAAAATTCCTACAATTAAAGAGATGTTAAAATTCTTATCGGAGCGCTGTCAGATGCTTCAGGGTTTGAAATCGGACAAGGTCAAGGCTAACCAAGCGAAGCCTGCCTCACAAACGTCGCGTATGCGTCATACTTCTAAAACCTTGTTGACAACGGATTCTGGTTATTGTAACTATTGTAAAGGTTCTCATTTAATAAGCGCGTGTAATTCCTTTTTGAAACTTCCAATAAGGTCTCGGATAGATGAGGCGCGGAAAAAACATCTTTGTTTAAACTGTTTAAAAAAGAGACATAGCACAAATGATTGTCGAAATCCGTTGTCGTGTGAAAAATGTTCTGGACGCCACAATACAGTTCTACACTTAGAACAAAGGGAAAAGTTAGAATCGTCGAATTTAAGGAAATTGGAATCTGAAGTTACCGCCTTATCGTCTCTCACAGCCTGTAGTACAACTTCGAAAAGAAAACAAATACTCTTGGCAACAGCGTTGATAATTATTAAAGATAGAGACGGAAATCCTCACGAGTGTCGTGCTCTTTTGGATTCTGCCTCTCAATCAAATTTTGTAACGGAAGATTTGTGCAGAAGGCTTAAATTGAATACGAAACCAATACAGATAAATATTTCGGGAATCGGTCAGGGGGAATCTCGTATAACTAGGCATATCAATTTTGTGGTCAATTCAAGGTTGAATTCCTTTAAGGCCAAATTATCTTGTCTCGTTTTGCCTCATATAACGGCCAATGTGCCAAATGTATCTTTTGATATCGACGATCTAAATATTCCCGATGATCTTCAATTGGCAGATCCAGAATTTTTTGAATCTGGTCCTGTTGACCTTTTGATTGGCGCGTCCATTTTTTGGGATTTATTGTGTCAGGGACAAATTCGTCTGGGGTCAGATTTACCAACATTGCAAAAGACGCAATTTGGTTGGATCGTTTCAGGATCATTATCTCATTTTAAAGAAATAAACAAAACGCTTTGTCATCTTGTAAAGGTAAATGATCTTGATGATCAAATGCGTAGGTTTTGGGAAATAGAGGAGCAATATCTTGTTTCGAATTCCGATAAATTAAAAAATAATTCCCTTGAAGATTTCTTCAAAGACACGACGCAGGTCACTCCCGATGGTCGTTTCATTGTTACTTTGCCACATAAAGATCAGGAAATAGATTTAGGGGATTCCAAGGAGATCGCCATAAAGAGGTTTTTATCCCTAGAAAGAAAATTAATAAAACAAAAAGACTTAAAATTACAGTATGATCAATTTATAAAAGAATATATTGATTTAGGTCATATGACCAAACTTGAAAATATTGACCCGAAGGATGTCAGTTATTACATTCCCCACCACCCTGTATTTAAACTATCATCGCTCACAACAAAGCTCCGTGTAGTTTTCGACGGTTCAGCGAAAACTACAAACGGGAAATCTTTGAACGATGTTCTGTTACCAGGTCCAGCAATGCAAAATGATTTATTCGAGATTTTATTACGTTTTAGGAAACACCTGTTTGTGATCACGGCGGACATTGCTAAAATGTACCGCCAAGTTTTAATTAATAATTCTCAGAGACCATTGCAGCGCATAATTTGGCGTTTCAATCCTCAGTTGCCGCTTGACGTGTATGAGCTTAACACACTCACGTACGGTACCGCGCCAGCTGCTTATCTTTCAATTCGGTGTTTGTTTGAAATAGCCTTGAGTGTCAAGGACACCCTTCCTTCTATAAGCAAAATAATTTTCGAGGATTTTTTCGTCGATGATTTGTTAACTGGGAAAGATTCCGTCAATGAGTTAAAATACATTTACACGGAAATCTCACGTATTTTAAGGGCGCGGGGGTTTGAATTGCGGAAATGGTCATCGAATAGCAGGGAATTCTTGGAATGCATTCAGGCCTGTGATGAGCAAGATGTAAATTTTACTGTTGGTATGAATGAGGATTTTAAGACTTTAGGTCTCTTATGGAACCCGGGAAAGGATGTCTTGTTTTTTACAGTGAATTTGACAATCAAAGGTCATATGATAACAAAACGACAAATTTTATCGTGTATCGCTCAGATCTTCGACCCTTTGGGATTTCTTACTCCTTTTGCTACAGTAGTCAAGATCATTTTACAAAAATTATGGCAGCTCAAATTATCATGGGACGAATCGATTCCTCTAGATTTGCGAACTAGGTGGTTATCTTTGCGAGAAAATATATCGGCTCTTGACGACATTAAAATACCGAGACACGTTTTATGTGTAAATCCAATTAATGTACAATTGCATGCATTTTCCGACGCATCTGAAGTTGCCTATGGCGCGTGCGTGTACATTAGAAGCTATGACAAATTTAAGAATTGTACGGTGCGCTTCTTGACTTCCAAGTCACGAGTGGCTCCATTAAAAAAGATTTAAATACCTAGACTCGAGCTTTGCGGGTCTCTTGTTCTAAGTCAATTAGTAAAAAAAGTACGCGAGTCTTTGCAAATGTCCTTTGACGAGTTTTATTTTTGGACAGATAGTACCATTGTATTATCATGGATCCAATCTTGTCCGAGTAGGTGGAAGACGTTTGTCGCTAACAGGGTGAGCGAGATTCACGAAAATGTAGGAAAGTCTTACTGGCACCACATCGATGGTGTCGAGAATCCCGCCGATATTTTGTCGAGGGGTTTAGATCCGAAATCGCTTAGAGACAGTCAGCTTTGGTGGAATGGTTCAGTTTGGCTAGAACGACCGGTTTCTGAGTGGCCGATTCACACTGCGATTGAAGTCGAGAATGATATTTGCATTCCTGAGGAAAAGATTGTATCGTTGGTCGCTGTCGATGAGCAGAACACGGAATTTTTGTCTGCATACTCGAATTTTTCAAAGTTACGTCGGATAATCGGATATTGTTTAAGATTTGTACATAATTTGAAACATAAAGGTCAAGACAGAAATAGTGGAATATTAACTACAAACGAGCTGCGTAATGCTACAATAGCAATTTGTAAATTCGCGCAAAGGGAAAAATTCACGCGAGAAATCGATGCGCTTAATAAGGGTAAAAACGTGTCAAACAAAAGTAAAATACTTCCTCTTAGTCCATTTTTGGACGATGGTCTATTAAGAGTGGGAGGGAGGATAAAAAATTCTAATTTCGATTACGCGAAAAAACACCCTATTTTGCTGCCTAAAAGTCGAATAACAAAATTAATAATTGAAAATGAACACAAAAGATTGTGTCACGCCGGTACACAGGCCGTCCTGGCATCACTCAGGGAAATGTATTGGCCGATTTCAGGTCGTGGTCAAGTTCGAGAAGTTGTAAGAAAGTGCGTTAAATGCTATCGTGCAAAACCAAGATCTGCTGTTGCCTATATGGGGGATCTTCCAGAGTCGCGCTTGCTTCAAACCCGACCGTTCTTGCGAACCGGAGTTGACTACGCGGGTCCGTTCGCCATAAAGGATCGAAAGACACGCGGAGCAAAAATAACGAAGGCCTATGTGTGCCTATTCGTATGCTTTTCGACAAAGGCAATTCACCTGGAATTGGTGGGTGACTTAACGAGCGATAACTTTTTATCGGCATTAAGGCGCTTTGTTTCGCGAAGGGGTAAACCATCCGATGATTACTCGGATAACGGTACTAACTTTGTGGGAGCAAGGAGGGAACTCGCTGAGTTGACCGATTTTTTGTTAAAAAATGAATCCACCATAATCGAATCCGCTGTTGATTTAAGTGTTCAGTGGCACTTTATTCCTCCAAGATCGCCACATTTTGGCGGTCTGTGGGAAGCAGGTGTGAAAACAGTAAAGGGACATTTAAAAAGAATATTAACTGATGCCTCACTTGTATACGAGGATTTTTATTCGGTCTTGGTTCAAGTAGAGGCGTGTGTAAATTCACGACCTCTAAGCCCCTTATCAGACGATCCAAACGACCTACTTCCATTGACTCCCGCGCACTTCCTGTTGGGTGAAACCTTGTTAGCCGTACCTGATCCAGATCTATCTCACATTTCAGAGAACAGGCTTTCGAAATTTCAAAGAATGCAGATGATGGTGCAGCATTTTTGGAAACGATGGTCAGCTGAATATATCGCAGAGCTTCAGGTTCGAGCTAAATGGAGAACGAGGAATGAACCATCAATTCGAGTTGGAACTTTGGTTATTATCAAAGAGGATAATTTGCCCCCAGTACAATGGAAAATGGGGCGAATCATTGAAGTTCAACTGGGAGCTGATGGGATCGCAAGGGTAGCAAAGGTTCATACGTCATTGGGCACGTATAAGCGTGCAATAACTAAACTTTGCCCTCTTCCATTCGAAGAGAATTCTTAGTCTGGTCAATTTAGCGAAATGTTTTGTTTTTTTTTGTGTTACGAGATTTTGTCTTTGTTTCATTTTTGAAATTCAGTTGCGGTGTATATATAAAAAAAACGACGTGCAATTTTGCTTAGAGTTTTATACTATTTTTTTTTTTTTGATGAATTTTTTGTATTTTTTACCTTTAACATTGATAACCAGGGTATATCAAGGCCGCCGGTATGTTGAGTTTCATATTGAACTTAATATCGTATTTAAATGTACGCGGTTTATATTATTTGAGAATACTTATATGTAGCGACGATTATGAATTCGCCTAAATTTCTCCCCCCAAATTTTATATCATCGGTGGGGATTAAGAAGAAACGCGCGAACTGACCAGATTTAGGACGACAGTCGAACAGTATAGACACGACAAATTTACAAGTAAACTCTAAAATAAACTCCAAATTATAAGTATAAAAAAAGTGTTTTATTTTAACACGTGAGTGAAAAATACTCAACAAAACCTTTTATCAAATTTAACATCAACAATTTTATTTTATCTCTTCTTTTTTATTTTTTTCACATACCATTTCTATATGTAAAAAATGAAAAAATTATTAAAAATATTTTTTTATATTCTTCTAGAATGTGTCTATTAAATGTAACACCTAATGTATCAATATTTTTAATTTAAACCTGTCGAAAAAATTCAGAAAATAGACTTTTTCTAGCGCATTGAAATGTAGTAGACCCTTAATTATTATATACCGAGCGTATACATTTTTTAGTATCAATGAAAGGACACAATAAAAAGAAAACTTATCTTGATGGTTGAAGTTTACTTTGAAAACAAAGTCTAAAGTAACTTAAATATAATTATTATCAATTTTAAACTTATAAGCTATGTAATATTAACATTTTCTGGTAAGTCGCGTTTTATGGTTTAATGTAATACTTTGTTTTCAAGTAAAAATACGGTTCTTTTTTCTCATTTAAATGTAAAGAAATAAATTAAAATTTTTGATAGAGAAATCACCCAAAATTACTCTATAAGGCGCATATTCCCCTTTTATTAAAATATTGCTCAATTTTCGTAGAACCAAAATTCATTAAACAGATTTGTCATTTAACCGACATGACATGAGGCAGACTTGTACTTCTTCTTAAAAATATGACGGTAGGATGACAAAATGGGTCAAGCGCCAATTTTTCGAAATTGAAGTTTTTTCATTAAAAAATCATGTAAATTCATTTACACATTTCTGTAAAAAGATTTTTCTTTTTAATTAGGTTTTTAAATCAGTTTTCAATGAATAATATTACAATAATAAAATAGCCTCAAAAATTGATTACATTTCTGTTGAAAAACAAAAGAAAGTCAACAATATTATGAATAATTTTATAAGGTTAAAAACATTGCTTTTAACAAAATGAAAATATTAAAATAAAGAATCAAAATAATAATAATATTAAACATAAATTATTGATTTTATTTTATATAATTTTAATAGCATTTTGTTATTTATTTTTAACTATTTTTATAATTACAATAATTGTTAATAATTGAATTTAAAAATCAGATATTGCTTGATTGCGAAGAAAACACTTAATTCATAGTCTTTTTTAGAAATCTAACAACTTTTCTTAAGCAAATTTTTTTTCATTCAATTCGTCAATCCAATAGAAAAACCTAATTTTAAAGTTTTTCTTTAAATTCTATATTTTTTCACAATTAATGTTCAAAGAAAATATGTGCAGTCGATTTAACCTTAAAGCACGACACATTTTTTTTCTTGTTAATATGTAGGTTTATTGGAGCAAATTGTTTATTTATTAAGACATAATACTACCTCGAAACAGTTTTCTTAATTTCTTTATAAATGACCTGCGGAATTTTTAAATATGTTTTTTTAACTTCCTGTAAAACTGTTAATTGGCGCTTGACTCCTTTTGTCATTCTACCTTTCGTATGACAAATTCTAAAAGTATTTGTGTACTTTACATCCAGCGAAAAATTTCATGCGATGTTACTGCGTTTTACTAATATTGTTATTACGTGAGAGTGTGACTTAATTCAAATCGCATGATTAGAAAGAATAATAATATGAAATGTGACAGACTTGACCTTTCACTGACATCACGTAAGACTTATTTATCTTTTGACTGACGTAAAATATGTCAAAGTTCTTATTCGACCGACTTGATATTGTGAAAAATTTGTTCTTTAAGCGATATAACATTTGGTAGACTTGACATTAAACCATGACTATTATGACAGACCTATTTGTTAACCACTGTGGAATGAGACTATACATGTCACTTGACCGACATAACATGAGACTGATTTGTCATTGGACCAATATACAGTTATTAGACTTTTCATTTGACCAATATCACATTTAAGCTCCTCGACATGTAAGACAAAACTATCATTTAACTGACATTTCGTTAGGCAAAGTTTTACTTTTTCCTTAAATAATACGTTAATTGTGCGTGGAAATGCAAAGTCTCCATCCTTAAGGCAGTGAACTATAAAATCTGAACACGGGAGCATGACTGTCAGACCTTACGACTCCTGTGCAGAGTTGCCAGATGGTGATCTGGCAAACCCTCATGCGTGGGTTTGGGAAATATGTTTCAGGATCGAGAAGTTTCACAAAGGACTATCAAAAACCTTAATATATATACAAACTCATAAAATATTATATCTTCTGGAGGAATAAGCAGCTCAATATCTGGATAATAAAATTTTTGTATAAATGCTCAAGTTATTAGAATATTTAATAAATTAATAGATTCTTTGGTATTAAAAAAAATTAAATTTAAAGCGCATACTTTTATGAAACTTTATAATCCAGCGACTGAATCCCTCCAGACTACAAAAAAGATAAGTATCATTTGTTACAATATTTGTAAATAATGCTGAAGTCTATCATATTATTCGTAATCTGAAATTACTTTTTTTAATTACAGTATTGTAAAACGTCAGAGAAGCATATTTTTCAAAAGGAAAACTTACCATGAATATCTGAAAAATCTACAATCTATAACTTATTCGGCCGTTGCATAAAACCTAGATAAGTGTACCAAAATATTAATGTATTTAACTATTCTTGAGATCAGTAAATCTGGAAGTGTAGTTTGGAAAAAAAAGATTTGTTGCTTGCCGTGAATTAGTTGTAACATATAGTTGTATTCTAACAAATACAACAAATTATTTTTAAGACTGGTACTTCTAGTTTTACTAATCTCCAATAAATTCTATATTAGTCTGTAAAAGTATTTTATTAGTAGAAATTTAAATTACTTTATTATTATTTATTTTATACAAATTATTTACGGAATGTGAAGAATTAAAACAGAAAAACGTTATTTTCTTAAATTTATATTTTAAATCCTCTCTCATTATTTTGTATATCTTTTTTCAGAAAAATTCTAACAGATTGTGCAATTTTTGTAGTTGAAAAAAGGACGGAAAGCTCGCTATGTATAGGAATCTTAAATTTTGTATTCTCATACCAACCAATCACCTTTGAGAAGAAAACATTATAATACGCAAAGTTAAAAATTTTAGCCATATATGTTAATATACAATTTGGTAATAAACAAAATAATTTTTTTTACTAATTTTTACTAATTTTTTTAATAATTTATTTACACAAAAAGTGTTATAAATTTAAATACATTTACAATCTTGACATTGTAAATTATTTCAAAAAACGTCGGTGAAGTTCACAAAGTTTAATATTAATAATTTTAGATAAACTTTTTTTATAAAAATTATAATAATATTTTCACTATAAAAATTTTTGTAATTATTCTTAATAAGGGTTAGGAAAAAAATTATAGAGTGAAAGTTTTATTGTTTTCCATTTTAAAAATATTTATTATTGTCCCAATCTATCATCTTCCACGTTATGAACTTCACCGACGTTACAAAATGTTAATATAGTATTAATATAATATTAATATACACACTTAAAAAATTTTGCTTCCTCGTGGAGGAAGCTTTGAAGTCCTTTCGTTTATAAAACTTTTCAAAGTGGCGGAAACAAATTTTTTTCTTTATAGAAATATGTATGTATATGTATGCGTGTGTGTGTGTGGATCCCTTTTTTGTTTAGAAGATAATTTTAATCATATTAATATCTCAAATCTGACCAAAGGATTTTAAAAAATACCCCAAAAAAAATTTTATCGTCTTTTTTCCAAAAATTTTTTTTAATCGAAAAAATATTTAAATAGAAAAATTTAAGGTTATATATATAATAAAATCGTATTCCTTACGTCAAGACGAATCGATCGATATATATAAAGTATACATTTGAGGTAAATTTAAAGAATTAATGAAAGTTAAAAAATCAAAAATTCACATTTTGGCAATAAAATTTTGCTTTCTCCACGAGGAAGCAAATTTTTTTGCTAATCGTAAAGAGGAAGCAAAATGTTCATGTAAAGAACATCTGAATTTACAACTTGTTTTTAATATAAAGGACAGCAATAATTTACTACATCGACCAGCGAATTTGAGTTGAAAAGATATTAAAAAAATAATGGTTTTATAGAAGCATCAAAGTATTTTAAATATATTAATTTCAATCATTCATACAACACTAGATACAAATTTTAAATAATACTTTTAAAAATTTGATTTTTTTTATTTCATTTTATAAAATTATACACATATAGAAGTATCATACAAAATTTTTTTTATAAAAATCGGAGCATTCTGTCATTTTTTCGAACTTTAAGTTGAGGTTTTATTTAGTTTTTTCAAAAAATATTCGCTATTTTGTCAATTTTTTAAGAATCAAAAGTCGTATAATGTGCGCTGTAGTGATTAACATACTCAATATAATGTAGTTTAATTTTTTTGTTTCAGATTATCCGTTTCAAAAATTTTATCCACAGCGCAGATCCCTTTTTTCTGACTTTTTTTCAACTAATATCTATATACCTATATAAAACATTAAATAATTTAATGATAATTTAATTTAATTTATAAATAAAAAACTTTTTTATGTACTTCT